GGGCCCCGTATTTCCAGACGGACATTCAGGTCGCTCGTGCTCACCCTTGCACCCGCTGTTCTCAGAAGAAACACGTGCACCCGTGGCCGAAGCCCAGGAATTCCCGCGGATCCACGTCGGCCAGCCCCCGACAAGTTGGGCACGTACCCGGCGGCCCCTCCCAGAGGATCCTCTTGATCCCCCGCAACCCGCCCTCCTCAGATTATGCGCGCACGCGCGCGAACGGATCGACGGGCCCACAGGGTCCTCATGGAGTCCCTGGGGCCTGCCATACGCAGACCAGGCAACCACGAATCCCTATGGATCACATGCGGCCCGCCCCATAGACACGTAACAACGCCAAATAACATATTGAAGTTTGTGCGTTGAGCAACCCGCAGAAATTGCACAAGCAAGGAACAGGTGCAACCGATTCGCCAGGAGGGAAGTTACACATAGTAAATAAATAATAACTCACAAATACCATGCGCACGTAGCAAACGCAATTGTTTTCATGATGAACAACAAAAATTTGAATACAGCCGGGCCTAGGTAAGCAACGGGACCTCTGCATAAACTGCGCTGTGATATCTCGCTAGCTTTAGAACGGCCCGGAGGACGACGAGGGAAAGACGGGGAGGAGGAGGAAGACGAGGCCGAGGGGAAAGCAACGACCACCCCAAAGCGCAGAAACGACAAAGCGGGAGGAATGAAAAGAGAGAGGAAACGACAGACCGAAGAGACAAGACGAAACAAGGCAAACGATAAGAGAGAAAGTCAGGCGAGCCATCGATAAACGATTCCGATGGCAAACTCGATCTCACCTCAGCGTCATAACCACCACTGGAATCCAGAACAACCGCACCTCGATGAATCAATGAAAAAGGGGCCCCCATGCGCGCGCCAGCACTCGACCACTGTGTGCGAGGAAGCCCGCGAACCACATCGCGGCTCAGATCCAAAACGACCCCACGACGGCCCCGAGTCACCCACCATACGGCCAAAAGGGCCCCAAACGTGCCAAGAGATCCCCAATCCGCCACCGTGCCCCTTGGCACGTTGACGCGTGCTAGAATCCCAAGTGCTGTCTGGCAGGGTTGCTGCAATATTCCAGGGTCCTCTCCCTGCTCGTGACAATATCCTGAATGCACCGCCCCCCCTTCTCGATGCCACAACAACTCGCAAAAACACGACCGACTCGCGCCTCAAAGGCCACAGCCCCGAGTACAATACAACGAATTCGCGTTCCCGAGGCCAAGATGCCCCCAAGACGACCTAATGTGGTTCCAAAGAGGCCATATTTAGTATACGGCGATGACCCCAAGACGGCCCAGTAGGCCTTGAAGACCACTCAAGCAGGCTCCAAAAGGACCTTCCGGGGGCTCGTAGAAGCCAAACTCACACATGTTCCTTCGGCAACCCTTTGATTTTCGCGTCGGGCTTCCGTGAGTTCAAGAAGGCCGAAGAAGCCTCAAAGGTGGCCCCACGACGGCCCAACGGAACCCAAACATTTCTCAACTGGCCTCCCAGAGGAACCTGGTATGGCCCTAGAAGATGCCCAAACTTGTCCAAGATGGCGTCTGGAATGCCGCCAAGGCCGCAATGCGTCCAAGACGGCCCAACAACGGCCCAAAGGAGGTCCTTGAGCGCTGCTGGAGAAGTGAAGACACATGTGACGGTCTCCTCCCCCTTCTCTGCTTCTTTCCAAGCCCCTCCTCCTCGTCATCATCATCCTCCTCCCCCTCCTCCTCCACCCCTCCTTCTCACCATCAGCACCGCCACCACAAGCACCACCACCACCACCACCACCACCACCATCATCATCATCATCATCATCATCATCATCATCATCATCATCATCATCATCATCATCATCATCATCATCATCATCATCATCATCATCAGCAGCAGCAGCATCATCAGCAACATCATCATCAGCATCATCATCATTATCATCATCAGCATCATCATCAACGCCACCACCACACAACAACAACAACAGCAACAACAATATCATCATCATCATCATCATCATCATCATCATCATCATCATCATCATCATCATCATCATCATCATCATCATCTTCATCAACATCAGCATCAGCATCAGCATCATCATCACCATCACCATCACCACCACCACCATCACCCACATCATCCTCATCCTCACCGTCACGATAACCATCATCAGCATCATCATCATCATACTCAGCATTATCCCCATCATCAGTATCAGCATCCTCATCATCATCATCATCATCAACATCATCAGCATCATCATCATCATCATCATCATACTCATCATCATCACCGTCTTCGTCTGCCCCAGAACCGTCGATGGGTCACATGTGACTTTTCCATCGTCCTCCTTCGCGGGAGCCCAGAGAAGCCCCACAACCCCCTCCTCCGACTCAGCCTCCTCCTCCAACTCGATCTTCTCGTCCTCCTCCCCCGCCTCCTCCGCCTGCTCCTCCTCCTCCTCATCATCACCCTCTTCGTACGCTCCGAAAAAACAGAGGTTCCACATGTGACGACTCCGGCGTCTGCCCCACAGTTGCCCAGGACAGCCCACAGACGGTCCAATTGAGGCTTATGATGGCGACGGCGTTCCTACTCCTCCTCCTCCTCCTCCTCCTCCCCCTCCTCCTCCTGACCACCACCGTCACGATCACCATCATCACCACCACCGCCACAGGCATCACCATCACCATCACCATCACCATCATTATCATCATCACCACCACCGCTGTCACCATCAACTCCACCACCAGCATCATCAGCATCATCAACAGTAGCATAAACATAATCATCACCATCGTCACCATCACCATCACCGCCACTATCATCATCTTGACCCTCACAATCATCATCATCATCATCATCATCATCATCATCATCATCATCATCATCATCATCATCATCATCATCATCATCATCATCATCATCATCATCATCATCATCATTAGCAGCATCAGCATCTTCATCACCGCCATCATCATCATCACAATCAGTATCGTCATCGTGAGCGTCGTCGTCAAGTCCTTCCTTCGTTTCATCGCCCTCCTCCGCCCTGTGAATCATGGCAGTGTGGGATGGGCTAAAAACCGCGGACGTGTCACATGCGACACTCGTCGCCGTTGCCAAAGCGGTCGCCGCAGAGAGCCCTGGGGCAGGCCGAGAAAACCCAACGTCCAGCGATATTTCACACGTAGCGGCGTCCTGGGCTTGCCCCAAGCGTCGCCTCAATACGTGCATCTAAAGCCGCTCCAGGTGTCACCCGTTAAGGCCTCCCGTCTCCCTCGCGCCACTGACAAGGCTGGGCCGTCACGGTGGCGGCCTTGCCGCAGGCTGCTGGGTACAGCCCTAGAGGGCCCCAACGAGACCCCCAAGACTGGCTCACAGGAAGCCAAGGCAGCCCCAAAACGGCTCCAACAAGTTCCATGAGAGCTCCGCAGGTAGTGAAGACGAAAGGTGTAACATGTGAAGGCTGTCCTCTTCCTCCTCCTCCTGCTCCCTGCCATGCTGGCCCTCCATCTGCCCCCCCATCCAAACCATCACCATTGTTACCAACACCAACATCATCTTCATCATCCACATCATCCCCATCGTCCTCATAATCCTCACTATGCCCACCACGGCGCCTCCAAGCTTGCAGACATGAGGAGGCGCGCGCGATGGTCTCCCGTGCGCCATCTCGAGCAGTCGCCGCCGTAACTGGTTGGACTGGTGCGGCGGCGGGACTTGCCGCAGGCAGCTGGGTAGATGTGGTGATTCATCCCGATGACATACAGGCTGTTGCCATCAACAGCAATTCCCCGAGTCCGGCCACGTACTGCATTAGACCATTGCCCAGGAGCCCCGGGAAGGGCAATACCGTGGTGCTGATGCAAGGGTCGCCGATATATTTTGTTATCGCTACCGACGGCCCATGCCGTGCCAAGAGCATCAACATCTAGTGCGACGATTTTGTCGCAATGATCTGGAGGAAACGCAACGGGCGACCAATCCGCTCCCAGTTGAGCGAACTGTTTTTCGTATATCCCATCCTTGTCGACACCATAAATATTCTGACCGCTCACTGCCACATCAAAGAAGCGCGGTGCTGCTACAGCAGACTCATCACTCATTGCAGCGCTTGCGGCAGAACGTACTTGTTTAATTTGGTGTTCGCGCGGTTATGAAGGAGAGGCGCCGAACGCTAGAGCAAGCCTGAGCCTAAACAGCTGCCGACCGAAGTGTCAGCGTGTGCGCTGATGCATGCATACACGAATGTGAACGCGCACGCGGGACTGAAGACTAAAATGAATGTTCAGACGATGGAGAGATCGACTTCTGCGTACGCTGCGCTGATGGCAAAATCCCTCCTCCACCCTCCCCCTCTTGCAATCGCTTCTCCCTCCCCCCCCTATTCTCTCCAGAACCAGGACCCCCCCCGCGCTGGCGAGACTCCCTCGCCCCCTCCCCCCCAATACTCCTCTCTCCCTTCCCGCCGCTGGCAGACGATGTCGTCGTCGTCGTCGTTGCAATTGCCTCGTCGCCGTCGTCGTCGTCCTCGTCGCCGTCGCCGTCGTCGTCGTCGGAGTCGTCGGAGTTGGCGAGTCGGCGAGTCGGCGTGTCGGTCGGTTGGGCGGGACACGTTGTCGTCGTCGTTCGCCGTGGCCGTCGTAGTCGCAGTCGCCATCGTCGTCGTCGTCGTCATCGTTGCCGTCGCCGTTTGCCGTCGGTAGGGCGGGTGGGCGGCACACGTCGTCGTCGTCGTCGTCGTCGGAGTCGTCGTCGTCGTCGTCGTCGTCGTCGTCGTCGTCGTCGTCGTCGTTTGGATTCGACCGCCCCCCCGCCTGGACTTCAGAAGGGGGGAATTCCCCCCCCCCCCCCGGCTCTAACCTGCGAGGGGAGGGGAATGGCGGGAGATTGCGATCACCCCCACCCCGGTGGAGCGACGACGACGACGACGACGACGACGACGACGACGACGACGACGACGACGACGACGACGCCGCGGACGCCCGCGGCCGCCAAGCCTTGCTGGCGCCGCGGCCGGTGCGGCCGGCTGCTGCGGGCGGGCCGCGCTGCTCGCCGCGGCCTATGTCGGGAGAGAGGCGGCGGCGGCGAGGGGCGGCGAGCGGCGGCGCCGCGGCCTCCACGGAGGGCGGCGGCGTCGGCCTCGGCTTCGGAAGGCCGTGTTGGAGGCCTGGAAATTGGCACCAATACCAGCACAGGGGATTGCCTTCACGTGGGGAAGATGATCCTAGATTTCGGTGTTGGTGGTAATAGTTCGGGCACCTTGGAAGCCAGAATGTTACCACCATCACCGAGATCGGGATCGTCTTCCCTCGGTGGAGGCACACCGCCGATCTTGGTGTTGGTGTCAACCTCTAGGCCTGCGACCGTGGGCGTTCCTCGGGTGTCTCCGGAAAGTCCCCGTACTTTCCCAGAGAGGTTGTCCCGCCTCGGGCTGCTCTTCGGCGGCTGCGCCTTGCCGGAGAGGTGTCCTGGGGTGCCTGGATCGCCTCGGACAACCGACGGAGACCTGAGCTACATGACCCGCTCTTCGATCCGCCGCCCCCTGTTGGCTTCTTGCCACAGTGGTGCCCTGCGTGCTGGACCCTTTCGGTTTTGGTTGTGCTTCCGTCCAAAAGAACTCTCCCCTGAGGCTGCGGCCCCGGGCGCGCCGGCCGCCCGGAAGGGACCGCAGTCTGCGCATGCCAATACCTTTCACGCCCAAGACGCTCGGCCACATGGGCGATTCTAAAGGCCGCTGGCGGCGGTGATTCGCAACTCTCCACGTCTCCTCGCCTCCCGCCTCCTCCCCCTCCCCGTCCTCCTCCAGCTCCTCCTCCTCCTCCTCCTCCTCCTCCTCCTCCTCCTCCTCCCTCTCCTCCTCCAGCTCCAGCTCCAGCTCCAGCTCCAGCTCCAGCTCCAGCTCCAGCTCCAGCTCCTCCTCCTCCTCTTCCAGCTCCAGCTCCAGCTCCAGCTCCAGCTCCTCCTCCTCCTCCTCCTCCTCCACCTCCTCCTTTTCCTCCGCCTCCTCCTCCTCCTCCTCCTCCTCCTCCTCCTCCCCTCCCCCGTCTCTTGGGGGGAGGAGGGTTGTTCCGATCCAGATAGCTCCAAGATGGCCTCCAGCACGGCTAAGATGGCCTCCAAGATGGCCAAGCAGGCTCCAAGAGAGCCCGAAATGGCTGCAACATGTCTGGAAGACGGCCCAGGATGCTCCCCAGACGGCCTACGGTGGCCTCAAGATGGCCCAAGCGGCTCGCAAGAGTCCTCCAAGACGGCTCCAGACGTCTTCAAGAGGTCCGTGAGGAAGGCCCGAAGAAGCCAAAATCATTGAGTCCCCTTAGGTTTCGGTCAGATGTTGGCATTTGCTTCTTTTCGACCTTCCGACGGCCAAGAGGCCATCAAAATCGCCCAAGAGGCCTCCAAGATGCTCCCCTGACGGCCCCAGGGGGCAACCCTCCGAGATGGCCCTGAAAAGCCCCCCCACACGAGGGCCCCAAGTCGATTCAGAGAGGCCCACCAGACGGCTCCCGACGGCGTCAGACTTGCGAGTGATGCCCTAAGGCGGCCAAGAAGCCAACAAAAGACCCCACAGGCCCCGAAGAAGCTCAAGGAGGCCCCAGACAGGCCTTCAAGAGGCTCCCGGGAAGTTTCCAGAAGCCCCCAAAAGTGCCCAAAGAGGCTCCCAAGAGGCCTCCTCCTCCTCCTCCTCCACTTCCTCCTCATCCTCCTCCTCCCTCCTCCTTCTCCATTCCTTATGAATAACTGCTCCCTGTCGCACCCCGGGGCCAATCGAAAGTGCGGGCCAGGCGTTTCGCCTGAGACTTCCGTACCATGTATGAGCCTGGAGGCTAAAAGCTGGCGGCAGCTTCACATATGGCTGGTAGTTTTCAAAATGTGGCTCTCGCGTCAGCGCCGCGCACATTCGCTTGAACAATTGCAAGGGCTTCACCGATCGAGGGAGAGTGATTCTCAAACTGTGGCTCTCGCGTTAGCGCCGATCAATATGTTTTGGAATTCGCAAGCGTTTCACATATTGAGGGCGGGTGGTTTTCAAAATGTGGTTCTCGCCTGGGCGCCGCGCACATTCGTTCTAAAACTTCGCAAGGGCTTCACGAATTGAGGGCGGGTAGTTTGCCAGATGTAGCTCTCGCATCAGCGCTGCGCACATTCGTTTTACACATTTGCACGAACTTCACGGATTGAGGGCGGGTGGTTTTCCAAATGTAGCTCTCGCCTCAGCGCCGCGCACATTAGCTCTAACACTCTGCAAGGGTTGCACTGGTGCCCATGGTTAACGTAGCAGAAACGGTGTTTCCGATGTTGGATTGACTGTCGGGGCACAACAATTCAGGTTGACTCGCTGTGTCCAAGTCCCAGGAATGGCGTTCTGGCGCGATTCCGGACCGCAAACACGCAACAGTCAGGTCAACTAGTGGCGTCGAAGTCCTGAGAGTGTGGCGTTTTGGCACGCTTCAGGATCTTCACACGCTTCCCCTAACGGGGCATTCCCTGTGGAAATGAACCCCTGTAAGGGCCCGCTGAAGAGGGAGCTTGGAAGGAGGGTGTACTCCAACATCGTTGATGAGTCTTGGGTTTAGACTGGTCCCCCTCCTCCTTCTCCTCCTTCACCTCTTCATCATCATCGCCATCAACATACTCCTCCTCGTCCTCCTCCTCCTCCTCACTCTCCTGATCCCCCCCCCTCGTCCGTCCCCATGTGTTTCCCAAAGGAGGGAATGCAAAGTCCGATGCCTTGGCCAATCCTTCGCCGAACGTTTGGCCAAAGAGGGGCGTCCCCAAAAAACAGAGGGCGACGCTGATCAGCCGCAAGAGTCGCCGGTACAGGGCAATCGGGCCAGGCCGTCGAGGCCCGACATCCTTCTCCTCCCTCTCCTCCCTCTCCGCCCTCTCCTCCCTCTCCTCCTCCTCCTCCTCCTCCTCCTCCTCTCTCCTCCCCCTCCTCTTCCTCCTCCTCCTCCTCCTCTTCCTCCTCGTCCTCCTGCTCCTCCTCCTCTTCCTCCTCCTCCTCCTTCTCCTTTTCCCTTCTCCTCCTCCCACCTTTTCCTCTCCCAAAGGTTCCGCCCCAGTGGGATTCACAACGGCTGGGCGATAGCTTGGCCAGGACTTCGGCCCAACGCTGGACCGCGCGGGCGCTTCCGACAGGCAGGGGACGGCGGTGATTCGCCGTGTACCCCGGCGCCTTCGATACAGAGCACATGTGCGCAGGCCGTCCAGGCTCGATACCTCGAAGACGCCAGGCCACTGAGGACACTCTTGAGCGGCGGCCGCGGCGGGCGGTGCTGTCGTCCCCGAGGCCTCCGCGGCGGCGGCGGCGACGGCACCGCGGACGGCGGCGGTGGCGCGGCCCGCCGAGGCCTCCGCGGTGATGGCGCGCAGGGCGCCGTCGGAGCCGTCCGGCTGCTGCTTCTCGCTGAGGTACCTGCCCACACATACTCGCGGCGTCCCTGTTGGTTCCCAACCATCCTGTGGTGTTGGGACCTCGTTTTCGAGAGACGGCGCCCCGCGTCTCCCACCTGCTGCCCTGCTGCCCCCTCCCTTCTCACATCCTTGTCTCTGGCCTCCGCCTGTCCTGTCGCACCCCCCCCCCCCTCGCACGCTTCGTGGCCTCATATGGGGCTCCACCTAAGCGTGTGGGCGTCACGCCCGTGTCGGCACACCCCTTGCACTTTGCGTGACCCCGCAGGGAGCTCCACATATTGCCCGGTGGCGACGTTCGCATGTGGGCGTCAAGCCGGTTTCGGCACACCCCTGACACGTTGCGGGACCCCACAGGGAGCTCCACCTATTGCCCGGTGGCGACGTTCGCATGTGGGCGTCAAGCCCGTCTCTGCGCACCCCGCACGCGCTTCGTGGCCCCATAGTTCTTCCCGTGCTGCCACCACATGGGCTACGCCCTCCGCGCCTGCAGCCCCTGCCTCGGCCCCTGGGTGTGGCCGCGATGCCGCTTCGCGACTGCCGCTGGGCTGCTCAGCGTGGGCTGGCCGCGCTGGCCGCTCCCGTCGGAGACCTCCGCGCGGTGAGCGCACCCTCCCTGTTCGTCTCTTGGCCCTGCGGCCGCCCCCGCGTCCCTTTTTCTCCTCTCTCTTGCGAGGGGCAACGGTGGGAGGGGCTGGGCATAGAGGGGATGCATCGACCGATAGAGATAGGCATAAGGGGGGATAGGCATAGGGGGGGATAGGCATAGGGGATAGGCATAGGGGGGATAGGCATAGGGGGGATAGGCATAGGGGGGATAGGCATAGGGAGATGGGCGCAGGGGGAGGCATCGACCTGGGATCGGTGATAGTAGGGGAACAACAAATTACATAAGCATGAAAACTTGAAGGTCCGCGCGGATTTCTCGGATCGGCGCTGAGGCCCCCCGGGTGGCTCCTCCGGAACCGCCCCTGGCGCGCTCCGCGCGCCAGGGAGGGGGGTCCAGCGCCGATCCGAGAAATCCGCGCGGACCTCGGAGTTTTTATGTTTATGTCACTTTTTGTTCCCCTAGATACATCGCCGATAGATCAGCGATGGGCACCCGATAGCGCATATGCGCCTTCCTTGGCGGGTCGGGGCTATCGGGCCCCTATCGGCGATCAATGACCGATTGGGGGTCGATGCATTCCCCCCCTAGGCCTATCCTCCCCTATCGTTGCCCCCGATCTTGCCGCCGGACAACTACTTCGCCCGCTCCCGGCCAACTTGAACGCGCATGCGGATCGCCTCTGCCGCGCTGCGACGGAAAAGTGCGGGGGGCAAGGGGCGTACTAAATGAAGAGGGGGCAATGAAACCTGGGAGATGTCGTGGCCTCGGCCATGAGATCCACACACCCCTAGTCCTCCTCCCCCCTTCGACGCCCCCGACGGCGTGGGGGGAGTAGGGAAGGAGGACGAGGACGGAGGTCAGCCAGAGGAGCCATGATGGAGGAGGAAAAGGGTCATGGCGCACTGAGGGGGCGTGACTCAAGCTCTCCAGCTGTTTGCCCAGTCGGCCCACGTCGGAAGATTCGACGATCGAGGTTTCCTACGGCGCATTGAACTACCAGGCCTGCGCAAGCCCGTGGATGCCATCAAAGGCGTCAGGAGGCCTCCCGAGACCTCCGGCGAGGATGCCGAGTAGGGCGAGCATGACAGCGCAGCGCTCTTGCCATTGGTCCCCTGTCCTTGGAGGTCGGATGGGGCCCAGGGGCCCTCCCATCCTTGGAGGTCGGCGCCAGGAAAGTATGGGAGGAGGCCACATCTTCTGCAAAAAGAGGGGGGAATATCAGGAGCATCAGTGCGAACCCAAGACTCAAGACTCATCAACGATCTTGGAATACACCCTCCATCCAAACTCCCCCATTCATAGGCCCCTACAAGAAGTCATTTCCACTGAAGGAATTGCCTCGTTGGGGGGCAGCCGTGCAACAAACATTGAAGCGCACCAAAACACCATTCTCACGACTTCAACGCCACAAATCAGCCTGACTGTTGCGTCTTGACGATCCCGATTCGTGCCAAAACACCATTTCTGGGACTTCAAAGCCGCGAATCGACGTAACTGCTGCGCCCTGGCCACCATGACCTGCTTCAAAGCGCCATGTCTAGTACGTTCGCCATGAGAACTAGTGAAACTCTTGCAAGTGTTTAGGAAGAGTGTGCACGGCGAGGACCACATTTTGAAAATACGAGCCGGCCCCAATACATGAAGCTCTTACGACTGTTTAAACGAATGTGCGCGGCGCTACGGCGGGAGCCACATTTTGAAAGCGACCCGCCCTCAATTCGTAAAGCTCCTGCAGAGTGTTAAGACGAATGCGCACGGCGCTGAGGCGAGAGCCACACTTTGAAAACCACCCGCCCTCCATCTGTGAAGCTGTTGCCAGATTTTCAGCTTCAGGCCATAAACGGAGGCAATCTCAAGCGAAACGCCCGGCCCGCCCTTGCGACTGGCCTCGGGTTGCGACAGGGAGGAGTTGTTCAGAAGAAAAGGGAATAAAGGATCGGGGAGACGTAAGACTCTGGCTCGGGAGGCTCGGTATGGCCTGGCGGGGCCGTCAAGAAAATGACGAGACCCAACCTGAAGTTTGACGCGATCCCCCGCTCCAGGCATCCCACGACAACTGGACCGCAAAAATCCAGGACAACCCGTCAAAGAGCTTCGGCAAACCCGAGCACCAGCGCACTCAAAGCGCCCCGCCGGAGGAGCGCAGGGGGAAGAGGATCGGGAGGAGGCGGACGTGGAGGGGGTCGAGGGAGAGGCAGACGAGGACGATGAGTAGGACCAGAAGAAGGAGAAGGCGAATGAGGAGGAGAAGGACGAAGCGGAGGAGGAGGTGGAGGAGGACGCCGACGAAGGCGACGGCGCGGAGGACAGGGAGGACAAACAGGACGAGGAGGAAGAGGAGGGCGGGGCCGGGGACGAAGAGGAGAACGCGGACGGGGAGGAGGAGCATCAGGAGGATGAGGACCAGGATAAGGAGCGAGGATGAGGAGAGCACCACTCCGCGTGCTCGGTGCGCTTCAGGTGCTTCTTGGAGCCCATGTGGCCCTGATCGGCCCACTGGTTGCCTGGGTGTCTCCAGGCCACGGGGTGGAAGCAGTGCGAGAAACCGTGGGCGTAGCCGCGTCGGTACCAGAAATACCACGAGCAGACTCTGCAAAACGTCCGCAGCGAAACCAGCAGTGGCCCGTGGTCACACGAGTACTTGCACTCCCGACTGAAAACGTGCAACACATGGCGTGCACTGGGATTGCGAACGATGAGCGCTGTCATGCACGAGCGGCGCAAGCATCGGCAAAGCCAAGGCTCACAATACGACCGATCTTGCCTACATTACTTACGGATGAACCCTGGCAGGAAAGCCCCCCTTGTCGCCAAGCCGTGCACGCGATCCGGCTGAACCCTTTACGCGATAGGCTCATCTGCGCTGATTGAATGCTCCAACGAGTGGCAGCCTGGCCCAGGCGATGCGCCGCAGATCTCCCCAGACATCCTCTGGCACGACTTGCTCGGTCCGCGGCCCCAGAGGCCCCGAACCCTTTTCCGTGGGAGTGGTCTGGCGCGCTGAATCCTGCTTTGATGGCCCCAGGGCCCGCTGACGAACCCCAGAGGCCCGAAGTCGAGGAAAGCCGCATGGCTTGAAAAAATCGCATCGTCGAGGACCTGGGACCGCGCCCACGGGGGAACCAAACGACACCGCTACCGCTATCTCCCCGGACCTCTCCAGGAGCGCACTCTGACCAGTGCTCCGAGGCGAACCCGGCGCTGGCGACGATAGGCCTCTCGCAGGAGGCCCGACGAGGCGAACACGAAGCATGGGTCGCAGCATCGGTGCTTTTTCCGGGGGCGCGCAAACATGGATCAGCGATGCATGGATCTGGCGCGCGGTCGCCAAATCCATGGATCGGGGGAGGTGCCCTCCCCCAAATGCGGCCGGTGCCGCCTCGCTCGGCGGCGGAAAGCCTCGACTTCCCGTGGAGACGGGACCCGTCGCTATAGTCCACGCCCCCTTGATCCATGCCTGCGATCGCCGGATTCTTCCTCCTGCGAATCGTCGCGCGGAAGAGGGGGCGCTGAGCCGGCGGCACAGGAGGCAGTAGAGGAAGTTGTCGCGCAGCTCGAAGAAGTGCGGCAGGTCGATGGGGTGCGCGGGCAGCTCCGCGGGGCGGCCCCAGGCGTCCCAGGGGTCTTCGCGGGGCGTCTGCGGGGTGGCCGCGGGAAGCGTGGGCGAGCCGAGGCGCTCCTGTGGATCCCGAGACCTCCGACGAGGTGCTTCGCTTGCTCCTGGCGTTTGGCCTCGAAGTCGGCCTCAGGGGCCCCTCATCGGGCCTCCCGATGGTACAGAATGCGTCCAGGGCGAGAAACCCTAAACCCTAAAAACTAAGAGCCTATAAAAATTTTAATCCTAAAAGCCCTTCCGCCGCCCTAAAGTCCCTCCTTCGGCCGCCCCCCCCATTTTGGCGCACCCCTCACGCAAATCCTTGCCCTCGGAGCGCCAGGAATGGCGTTTTGGGGGGATCTGCAAATCCCAGGGTGCGCCCCTCACGCAGATCCTTGGCCTCGGAGCGCTAGGAATGGCGCCGGACGCCCCCGCGGCGGGCGAGGCGGCCGCGGGCGCTGCGGCCCCCCCTCTGCGAGCTCGCGGGAGGGCGGCCCGGCGGACGCGGGGTGGCGCGCCGACCCTTCGGCGGCGCAGGCGGCCGCGGGCCAGCTGGGCGGTGCGCCCACGGCGACCGCGGGGGGCCCTGCGTCGCACAGGGACTCGCGTCAATAAGCGTGGATCTTGCGTGCAACCTCTCCGCCGCTGGGCGGCGTCCCTGCATCGCACAGGGACTCGCGTCGAAAAACGTGGTTCTTCAAATCGCGTCGTCACGCGCGCGGGCCGCATCGCCGTTGCAGCCGCGTCCCAGGTGTCTTTGCGCGGCCGCGTCGTCGTCGTTTTGAAAACAATAGCAACGTCGTCGTCATCGGTGTCGTCCTCGTCGTCGTTTTGCGAGTGGCGTGTTGATACCGCATCGAGATCAATATGTCTTGGGTCATGGGTGGGTGGGGCACGGTCAAGTGGGCTGCAAGTTTGGGCTAGTGGACCCTAAATCTCTAATCCTTATAAGTATTAAACCCTAAAGCCCGCTAAACCGGCCGCCATGTAAGCCCCCATTTCTCCTATGCAAAAAATACGATTTCCTGATCATGCGATCAGAAAACCATATTTTTTACAATACGAAGTGCCCGGCCGTGGTCGCAACTTGGGCCTTTCCATTGCAAAAAATACTATATCCTGATCATGCGATCAGAAAACCATATGTTTTACAATACAAAGTGCCCGGCCCCGGTTGCAACGCTGCATGTGAACCCGGGTTTTATATGGTAAAAATACTATAAACTTAACATTCTGCTATTGCAAGATGTGTCCATGCTCTTATTCCATTGCAAAAAAACAGTGCACACGCGCGCGGCGGCCGCGCGATCATGGCGAAATATGTTGAAACACAATGTGTTTTCAATGTCTTTCAGAAGCGATATCAGCAACACATATGAAAACATATGATTTTCTCATACCACAATTCTGCAGGATCGCCCTCCGCGTGCATCCTGAATCATTGAAAAACCAATGGGTTTTGCAACATTCTTGTAAATCGGGGCGTCACAAACAACTTTTGAGCGCACGGCGAATGTGGCCATGCTCATATTCCATTGCAAAAAATACGACAAAGTGCACACGCGCGCGGCCGCCGCCTCTTTGCTAAGCGCTTGCTCCCAGGCGCACTCCTGGATCGAGCCACGCTTGCTATGGTATGCTATGCTATGCTACAGCCACGGTAGAACATGAGAGGAAAGATGATCTTTATGTGGGGGTGGAGATGCGGGGGGGATTGATAGCCACCGCAGGTGAGCGCCTATGCAGGTAGGTATTCCTGGCCTTGCCCTGTTAGACCCTAAACCCTAAACCCGAAACCCTAAACCCTAAACGGGGTCATTCCCCAAGTTGCCCGTGGGTCTGGGACCCCTGGCCCCCACGTCCTCGGGCGCGTTTTTGCGTGATCTTGGAGCGTCGACGGCGGCTCTTCTAGGAGACGGCAGAGTGGCGAAAGGCGTGCAAATCTCGACCTCATGAAAGAGTGGTCCCTGCGCGACCCTAATTGGGGGAACGCTTCCCGAGCGGCAATGCCTGAGATTGCTCTGCTTGGCATTGCATTGCTTTGTTTTGCTTTGCGCTGCGAGGCACTGCTTGGCATCGCTTGGTGACCCTGGGAGCGCGTCTTCAGACTCCGAAGGGAAGCGCCAGCCAGGAACCCGGGGCATCCTCGGAACCCGAGGAGGGCCTTCCAGCCAAGCAGGGTGAGAGCAGGCCCAACCACCAGAGGCACACGGGAGACCCGGAGAAGACGCCCGCCGGCGCGGGCCGCGCACCCGCCAGCTCTCCCACACTTTTTTTGCGTCGGCAGCTGGGCAGGGGACGCATGCGCTGACCATGGGATGCCTCGAACGGAGATGCCGCTAGCGGGGAAAAAAAAAACAAAACACACACTGGGGGGAACAAGTAACACACAGGGAAAACACACACACACCACACACACACACACCACACACAAACGTCTAGGGGGGGGGAAACGCACAGTGGGGAAAAATCACTGTGGAACAAAAAAACACGTTTGTGTATGTTTTTCCGCTAGCGCTGCATCGGGCATGTCCCCCTACACGCGGATTGTGGACGACAGATCACAAAAAGGTCCACGAATGCGCAAACATGGCCAATGAGGACAATATAGCGACTCAGGGGGGGACGGATCGCTCCCCGAGCGAGCGGCTCGGCCAGCCCCTCCGGCGAGCCCGCCCAGTTCTTCAACACAGAAGAAAGAGCCCCTTCATGTACGCTCAGTTTTAGGTCGGTCATGTCCCCCTACAGGCGGATTTTGATGTTGGACGAAAGATGAATAGCACTCGAAAAATACCTCGAAATAGTCGGGCAGCAAATTTTGAAAAAAACGTCCCCAGACTATTTTTGATTATTTTTGTATATTCCTCCTCGAAGGACACGCCTGGCTTAAAGGCACGCTCAAATTTGACACGCGAGACGGAAAGCAAAGTCCTGACACTCCTTGGGGCAACCAGACGGTCCGGGATTGCTCTGGTCCCGGCGCCCTCCGTGTGGTCCAGGAGGACCCGATCACCGGCGACCTGGGACGCGATCAAAGCGCACAGCAAGGACGCGCGGCAAGGATGCAAGGGCCCTGGAAGGCCACGCCAGCACCTTGCGAGCGGGGCGCGGCCAGCAACACCGGCCGAGGATGGGCCGATGGGGGAAAAAGCACACACAGTCTGTTGGAACAAAAACACACAGTCTGTGTGTGTTGTGTGTGTTTGTGTGTTTTGTCCCACAGTGTGTGTGTGTGTGTTTTCCCCACTGACGTGTGTGTTTTGTGTGTGTGCGTGTTTTCCCACAGTGTGTGTGTGTGTGTGTTTTGTCCCACAGGTGCCTGGGCAGCCTTGGAAAGTCGCTCATCCCCCCTGCGCGGGCGGACTGCAAACCAGCCGTGCGACGCCGCAGGGTCGACCCCGCCCCCGGGGCCGGCTCCTCGCCCTGCGTCGTCTTCTCCCTGCCCGAGGCCCCGGCGCGAGGGCGCGAGGAGGCCTACAGCGGCGAACAGAAGCCTCCGCCCTGACACTTTCGTGCTCCGACGCGAGCGTGCCTGGGGACCCAGCTGCCAGAGAGGAATGCTGCACAGCGTGGCACGGCGGCGCCGCCCCTGGCGGGGCGGACGCGTCGGCCACTGCACCGGGCACGCACCTGCCTGAGATGGGGCGGCGCACGCGCCGTGCCGGGGAGAGGCATGCCCGGAACCGGCACGCCTCAAAGGAGGCGCCCGCCGCCCGCGCGGGGAGGCCGCATAGCTGAGCAGCCGGTGGAGCAGCCGTGCCGGGTCGTCTAGTCAACCCGGCATGCTAACTATCATGCGCTCGAGTACCCCCTAGATGTCTTGAGAAGCGTGGGGGGGGTACCCCCCCAACCGGGGGGTCAACCTCGCCCCGTCGTCGCGCCGCGACGGGGGGGGTCGGAGCGCCTTCGGCGCGCGGTGGCTGCCCGCGACGGGGGTCGCCCCCCGATGCATATAAATAACCTCGGAGCGTGCGTACTCCGGAGATGACGGAAAGCGCGCGTTAGCGTGCGGTCCGTCAGTCGGAAGAAATTGGACTTGGGGGAGTTCGAGGGGGTTGGCGGGACCCGGATCAAATTGCCCTCCCGCCTCGTTTATTGAGTAGGACGGCCTTCGGGGCTTAAAAACAGCGTTTCGCTCGAGACATCCTCGGAAAACGCTTCTTGGGCGCTTCTTGGGCCGTCTTGGGCGCCTAAGACAGCCCAAGAAGCGGCCAAGACGGCGCCCAAGACGGCCCAAGACGGCCCAAGAAGCGCCCATGACGGCCCAAGAGCGCTCCAAGAGAGCCCAAGACCACCCAAGGCGGCCCCAAGACGTCCCAAGAGGCCTCCACGACGCCCCAGGAGGCGCCCACGAGGCGTCCCAAGAGGGCCCCAAGAAGCCAAAATCATTGATCTTCTTACGGAAAACGTGCATTTTTAGCATATACGGTTTTTCGCCTTTCATGGCGTTGAAGACGGTCCAAGAGGCCCCCAAGACCGCGCCCCAAGACGGCCCAAGATGTTCCCAAGAGGCCCCCAAAATAGCCCAAGAGGGCGCCAAGACGGGCCAAGAGGCGTCCAAGACTGTCCAAGAGGCCCCCAAGAGCGCCCGAAGAAGGCCCACGAGGCCCCCAAGAAGGCCCCATAACGGCCCAAGAGGGCGCCAAGGCGGCCGAAGAGGCGCCAAGACGGCCCAAGACGGCGCCAGGACGGCCCCAAGAAGGCCCCAAAAAGGCCTCCAAGAGAGCCCTCCCGCCTTTTCTTTTATCGAGTAGGACGGCCTTCGGGGCTTCAAAACAGCGTTTCGCTCGAGACATCCTCGGAAAACGCTTCTTGGGCGCTTCTTGGGCCGTCTTGGGCGCCTAAGACAACCCAAGAAGCGGCCAAGACGGCGCCCAAGACGGCCCAAGAAGCGCCCATGACGGCCCAAGAGCGCTCCAAGAGAGCCCAAGACCACCCAAGGCGGCCCCAAGACGTCCCAAGAGGCCTCCACGACGCCCCAGGAGGCGCCCACGAGGCGTCCCAAGAGGGCCCCAAGAGGCCAAAATCATTGATCTTCTTAC